AACAAAAACCCCACAGCTGTAGCTACAGCCACAGCCAGAAGTCAAAATGTGGGAAGATCGTCACCTAAACTTTCGAGTTTTTTTGCTGAGCACATAATGGAAAATCTTGTGCAACCTTCCATGTAGCTTTCAATATTAATTTAATTCTCACCATAAATATTTTAACATTTTAGTTAGTTTCCAAATGTAAGTATCTTGTGGGGAGCAGCATGATAGCATCTTTAAAAAGTGCACTGTCTAGCACAGGAGGTAGACAGTTTTCATTATGTCACAGGAGGCGAGACATTTCATTAGAGCTCACCTTGTCCATTTTAGTTAAGAGTTTCAGAGTGCTAATCTGAGTTCATAACTGCTAGTAAAGCTATCTCAGTAGAAGGCTTTATTTTGGTGAGATGAATCTCATGTCATAATCTGAACCACATGGCATGAGGCCTGGGTCCTCTTATTGAAGTGGTGCGCCCTGAGTAGATGTAGAAGGATGTGGGTTTGCTTACATCTGCTTCCATTTGAACTCATGGCCACAGAAAATTTGCAGTGGGAGAGCTTCCTCTATTATACTTCGTTTCCTTCTCTTTAGCTTTGCTTTTTTCCTATTCCTAGCAGAAGAGGGATTCTTTGCTATTCTAAGAATAATGCCTGTACCACCTTTGATGAAGGGAAGATGATGTTTAATTTCTATATAATTTATTTTCATCTTATATTTATTTTACATGGGGCACTATATCATGGGGCTGCTCTTGGTCCCTTCCAAAATTCTACAGAAGGATTTGGATGTGGCCAGTTTGTGTTCTGGCTGTCTTGTTACTGAGAGTAAGCTGAGGTCTGGATGTGGAGTCTGGTCAGTTGGGGCTGTGAGCAATACAGATGTGCAGATTTTTGTTTCTAATTTTTTTCTAATTTTATTATATTTCTCTTAAGAGTGTTAGCTCTTTCTAGTCAGAGTTTTTCATATCTTCCATTGAGTTGGAAGCAGATGTCCTCTGGTTTCAGGTTGTCCTCTCAGTGCAGGAAGTCCTACATACCTCACTTCCAACCAGGACACTTAACCTGAGGTATTTGTTCCTCTCTGCCTGCCCTGTTTTCCTTCACAGCAGCCACTGCCTCTCCTGTCAGCCAGAAGAGAGGCAATCCAAAGTAGACAGACACTAGCATGTTTCCAAATAATGGATTTCTGAGCCTTTACCCCACCTGACTCTACCTACATTTTAATTTCTTCTTCTTCATAGATGAGGGAGGGATTCCTATCCTAGGGTTACAGGGATGGCTCAACACATGACACCTGACATTAGACAGATAAGATCGACAGCAACTTATTAGTCATATTCTCACAGCCTGGGGGAGGAAGATACTGCCCACCATAGAGAGCCACATGTGGGGTGCACTTTAAAGCAGAGCGAGCAAGCTGAGGCTGCAGGAGGCAAGCTTTGTAGTGACAAGAGAGTGAGGTGCCCCTGGTTCCCATGGGAGCATGTGATTGGCTTGTTTAAATAATTTAACAGGCCGGCAAGAAACTGAAACCCACCACTCAGGGATAATCAGGAACTGTGTCTGATCCCCTGGATAAGGAACATCGTCTGACTGGAGTACTTTATTTTGAGGAGCAGAATGGAAGGGAAACCTGTGGTTAGGCCACTCATGACTTTCTCGATTTTACCAGATGTAAAGGTAGCATATAAGAGTGGCCTTACGTTAGGTCTTCAGGCACATGGACAATCCCACCTCTAGCCATGTACTCTCATGATTAGTCTACGTTTATTTTATTTCTTTTCTCTTTTATCAGTGTCTCTTTTATTTCAATTTCTTGAAGGTATTATTCTCTTTTAAAGATTTATCAAGGGACAGGTGTGCCAAACACAAGAAGAAACTTCTCGATGAGGTGGAAAAGAATATTTTAAGTTTTACTCCGGCCATACCCCTGAACTGCTCTCCAGTTTATAGAATAAGAAAGCAAGTTGACCCTTGAATAATGCGAGGGTTAGGGCACTGGCCCCTTCCTCCCACAGTCAGAAATCCAGATATAACTACAGTCAGCCCTCCTCATGGGCAGATTCCTATCCGCAGAGATGTCTTTTCAAGCATGAGTTTGAACTCTGCAGGTCAATTGAAAAAATCTGTGCATAAGTGGACCCAAGCAGTTTAGACTTGTGTTGTTCTAGGGTCAACTATACTGTTCTTTCTCACAGAAGGATGATGAGGGCTAGCATTACAGAATGACTACAGAGAATACTAAAAATAATAATTTGCACAATCATATATTACAAAATGTTATATTTTCTTAGCAGAATGCACCTTTTATTCTTTGAGCAAATCTAGCAGAGAATATCTCTGGATATTAAATTTTTATATCCTGAAAGCTTAAATCCTAAATTGGTGAGTATCAAAATGCTAGGCCATAAGTCAGTTTCTTTCAAATATTTGTAAATATTAATCTGTTTGCTTTTTCATATAGTGTTAATGTTGAGAAGTCTAATGCCTCTCTAAATCTTATTTCTTTATTTATATCCTGCTCTCATTTTCATATCTCTGGATGTTTTTTATGTTTATCATTATTGTTGACCTGACTGTCATAAGGATAATCTTTTTTTCTTTTATCATGATCTGATCAATATTCAATTTTTCGTTTCTGAAAAATGTTCCTTTCACTTCCGAACATTCTCATCCCATTTCTCTATTCATTTTGTGTTTTCTCCACTTTTCCTTTCATTGTTTGTGTTAATCCACATCTCTTAAATTTTCTTTTATATTTTACATGTCTTCTTTTTCTGTTCGTCCTGTGTGCTAGTAGATTTTGTCTACATCATTTTGTAGACCCCTAATTCTAATTTTTGCCACGAGTAGTTATAATTTAGTTGCTGTCAAATTTTTAATTCACAAGAATTAACAATAATTCCCCTTTATTGATATGGTTAATTCCTGATTTATGGATACAATTGCCTCTCAAATCTCCCTGAAATTATGAAATCATTGTAAGCTGCCTTTTTTCTCAATTGTCTCTTTCTCTAAGAGTGTATATCACTATACTTCTTCAAGATGTTAATTTTTTCTATGGCTGACTTTTTCATGTTGATTTTCTCCAATGACTGATGATCCTTAGTGATTCATTTATATTTATTAATGAACTGGATTGATTAATTAATGACTTAAGATATGTCATTGCTATATAGTTTCCTGCCATTATATAGATATTTTCCCTAAAGACTCTTTCTTGAATAAGAAGGAATAATTTAGGTCCTATTTAAGTCAGTGAGGTATGAGAACAGCACATGAATGGAAATTAGTTTAACAGCATGCACAAATATATACATGCACACATACGATTTTGTCTTTCTATCCCAGACAAAATCGATGTTTTCCTTTTATTCTCCCATCAGTGTCTTTTGTGGAAGTCCAGAGTGACATGATATTTAAGTTTTTTTGTCCTAACCCTGAACATCTTACTGAGCTCATGTCATTCAGAGTGCTTTTCTTGGGTTCATACATAGCTACTACCTGCTGTTCAGTATAAGGGGGCCTGTTGAGAGGTCTGACTGACTCTTCCATTGAGAAAATACTTTAAGTTGTCCTGGCCATTGACCTGGGGCACCTTACTGCCCTTCGTAATTTTCACCCTGAACTTGGTGGTTTGTCTATTTGCTTTTTGTGCATGTGATTTTTCCTTGCCAGCAAGGTTATCATATGCTGTTCTTAGTCTGAGAATTTCTTTGCAGTTATAAAATAAGTTACTTTTTATTTTCCAGGAATTTCTACTAATTTCTAATCTGTTGTTAGAACGCTTTGTTGGTTTCCAGTGATACTATCTCTACTTTTCAGTGATTGGGAGTGGTGTACTCTCAGTCCTCCATCCTGACCTAAATTTTCTTGTAGTGCCTCCTTAGTGTTGTTTTACTTCAAAACAGTTGTGTGTTTTTCTTATTTATATAGTACATACACTTTTGGGGAAAGTTAGAAAAATGCAGAAAAGCAAGATGAAAAATAAGTTTCTAAGGTCTCAGTGTATGACTTGATTAATATCTATTATATTTAATTTTGCAAAAAGTCACTTCAATCAGGGAGTAGAATATTTTCATCTTATTTTGGGGAATGCCATTGTATTGTGAATGCTGCTGAAAATCTTAGAGCATATGCAAGAGGCCTGCAGTGCAGGCCATCAGGATCAGAGTGGTCTCCAGTACACCTCCTGCATAATGAAAACCACAGCTCTTCCAATATTCCATGAATGAGAATTAAATATTTGTTTCAGTCATATGTGTTTATGAAATAATCAATCTAATATATTTCCAATTTCACAATAAGAAAAAATGTCTATTCTTGATATTGATTTATATATCACTGCAAAATATAGCTGTGAAGTCTGATATTAAAATAGCATAGTTTTATCAGTAAGCTGGACTTAAACAGTTAGAGATTAATTTTCTTAGAAAATAAGAAGTCTGAGGCTGTTGTATTTGATATTCTTAACATGGATCTACCAACTTCTTCATCTTTCCTTTCTGCGCCCTTAAGCATATGGCTAATATTTAATGCTTATAGGATATATGGTCATCATAGGCACCATGTCCATGTTCTGGAAGAAAATTGGCCAGATGATTCCATCCACTTTAACAAGAAAACATTAGCCTTCCTAGATGCCTCACCAAGTATGATTCTACCCTTATCTCATTGGATGTAACCATCATATGATCACACTTAGTCTAAAGTTTGACATACAGCATCTTGGAGGAAAATCATGATAGTGATAAGTGAAAGAAAAGTGGATTTTGGCAGGCATTTAGCAGTATCTGCTTTTGAGACCGATTTCTATTATAGTGCCTAACATTTATGAGGATCAGTATAATTATGGACATATTGGTGAATGGTATTACCATTGCACAGGTAGTCATTAACTCTTTATGCCTCCACATGGCTGTACATTTCTAGTTTCTAGTGTATGCATAATTGAATAAACAGTCACATTGGGAAAGATATGCATGGGTAAAAATGACTTTCATTTCTCTCATTAGCAAGGTGATACCTGTGACAGCCATACTACTCAATTGGATAACACCCAGGAGGAAAAAGATCTACAAGGGATTTTGAAAACAAGTGGTTCCTCGGTAAGTTATAGCAGTAGAACTGGGGGTAGGGACGAAAGAAGAGTTTTTCCTTCAAGACAATCATGCAGAACTTTAAAATAATGCAGCATAATTAAGATGGCTGAACAACCACAGCTGTCAACATATCTGTCTACCTTTAATTTGTAGGAAGACATTCAGCAGTAAATGAACCCAGGTGTAATAATGAAATATATAAATAATTGCATGTTCTATAAAAACAGATACATACACAGAAAACCAAGGATTGTAGGCATTTTTTTTTTGACCGATTTAGTTCCTTTACATTTTTTCTTTTATTTGAAAAAATTCTCATAGGACTGTTAGTTCCACTGAGTCACAGATCTACCTTTTGGAGCAACAGCAGGTGTCCTTAGGTTTCCTATTGTTTCTCCAGTGCAAGGTGAACATCAGGCACCTTCTGCGGATAATATTTTTAATCCTAGGTCTCCAATCCCCCTCACCCTTCCCCACCCCACTACTTTTGTGCAGATCCATTTCAACACCCCACTTACCCAAAGGAGGGCAAAGTCAGACAAGTCTCAGGAGAATGATCAAGCTTCTGTCAATTTGCAAATGGAACAGTTGCTTTATTTATGGTTATCCCAGAGCCTTTTCTCACATCTGTTTCTGCTTAAATTACTATTATTGTAAGCTATCTTTTCTCTCCTTTGGTGAAACGTATATAATCTATTTTCCCTTTTATTTTTTCCATCTTCATAGTCCCTCTTCTAACTACCGCCCAAATAGAAAAAAGCAAACTGGCAAATCTCATTAGGTCTATTCTCTATGCTGAGATGGTGTTGGGGAGAGACTTATTTTGAAAGGGCAGGCATATATTGAACCCAGGTGTGATTACTCACACCTTAAGTCATTTTCCCTCATAATTAAGAGAAGATAGTAGCTTTCTTTTTCAAAATGTTCTCCATTTGCTTTCTTCCTTGGTGCTGCTTTGATTGGGAGGGAGGTGGATTTTAGAAGAGAATTCCCATTATTCCTGGAATACCTGTCTCCAACCATCATTTCTTTGAATGCTGCTGGGATTCTTTTTTCCTAATTTTTGGTTATGTTTTGTTGACTCTACTAGATTTTAGGAGAGAGAGGCTTGGTCATTTGACATAACTCTTCCATTTTATCCCAGATTATAATCCCTGTTATTTACAGCAAACTCCTTTTGTTATTAAAAATTATCCACAATCTGCTCCCTGCTGGTATTTCCAACCTTGAGTTCCCTTGAGTTAACCACACAAATCCTCTAATTTTGAAAACAAATCAGCTTCCTTTTTCGGAAACATACCCTGAGTTTTCCAGTGGTAAAATTTTGTTCAGTCCTTTCTCATCTTTTAAAATGGGCAAAAGATTTGAACAGACACTTTACCAAAGAATATATATGGAAGGGAAATAAACTCATGAAAAGGTGCTCAGTATCATTAGTGATTATGGAAATGAAAATAAAGCCACAATGAGATATCTGTACATACCCCATAAAATGGCTAAAACTGAAGACTGACCATACCAACTAGTGCTAAGGATGCAGAGTAACTGAAACTCTCCTTCCTTGCTTGTGGGAATGTAAAATGGTCCATGTACTTTGGAAAATAATTTGGCAGCTTCTTAAAATGTTAAGGATATACTTCTCATAGACCCAACCATTCTACTCATAGGTAATATGTGTTCATACAAAGACTATCCACAGATATTTATAACATAATAGTCCAAACTGGAAACAACCCAGTTTTCTATAGATAAATGGATGAACAAATTGTGATAAATCCATACAATAAAATACTAGTAAGCAAAAAAAGCAATGAAATATTGATATACACAGTACAAATACACAATGAACTATGGATGTACACAGTAGAGATGGATGAATCTGGAAACAGTTATGCCATGTGCAGGAAGCCAGACAAAAGAAAAGATTCAACTTACATAAAATTATTGAAAATGTAAACTAACCTATAGTGATGGAGAGAAGGTTGGTGATTGCCTTGGGACCTGGGTGTGGACAAGTAGGGGAGGTAAGGAGAGATGATAAAAGGGGCATGAGGACACTTTTGGGGGTGCTCTTTTTATTCATTGTCTTGATTGCGGTGATGGTTTCACAGGTCTATGTATTTGTCATAACCCATCAAATTGTATACTTTATACTATTTAAATATGTGCAGTTAATTGTCTGTCAGCTATACCACAAAAAAGTCCATATAATGTTTTATGATTTCATTAATATCCAACGAGTTTATTTTGCAGTAAGCTACTTAAAATAAAGGAATAGTCTATTCATGTATGTAGTTGGCCCTTGATTCTAAATCACAAATGCCACCAAATCTGGGCATTTACAAAAGTCTTACGATCCAATCTACAATCATCACAAACCTACTCTACAAATCACTACTTGTATAGATAAGAGAAAACATTTTCCTTGTGTATAGTTGACATAAAGGAATTATTCAATTGAGGTGTTAGTTAATCCAAAAGGCAGTCAATCTAGTTTATTTTCAGTGTCTTAAGTGAAAATCAAATAGTTACATTTACTATTGATTCACAATTCACTATTAAACACAATTATACCATCTGTTAGAAATTATCAGTTACATCTGTGTTTGCTTCATAGAAAAGAAAATCTAAGGAACCTTGATATAAGCAAGTAGGAGTTTGTTTTAATCACAAAACAAGAAACTAATGGTAGATAGACCAAGGCTTGTACAACCACAATATAATGCAGTGCCTACTTTAGCATGAACTTCTACCTTTTTCTTTTCATGCTCCCACCTTAGTATGTGGATTTAATCCTTATACTTACAAGATGGTCAGCAAATCGGATACCATGTTGATGTTTCTGTTAAGGAACATATGCCAACTAACTGTTATTAACAGAAAACCTTAGTTCTCCTGGAAAACCTGCAAGTAGAATTTCTCTTATTTTTCATTGAACAACTGTGACACTCAGTATATTTTTCTTATTTTAGTTGTCTGATTCTCATTTCTTTATAAATAAGCTTCTTAGATTTTTTTTTTTTTACCCTATCTGCAACTTTTTTGAAATTTTGAATTTATTGCTGCAGTTCTGAACTTTCACAAGGATCAGCCCTCTATTTCATTCATCCTGGTTACTGTTCAGTGAGTCCTTTCCATCTGAGAACAGTTTTCTTTCTTCAGTTTCTGGACAGTGTCTTCTGTTATGTTGTTAATTATTTTTCTCTCCAGTTTCTATGTCCCACCCCTCTAGAACACATATTAAATGGTCATTGTTTTGCTTGAATTGGATTTCAATGTCTCCTAAATTTTCTATCATGCTAGTTTATTTTCAAGTTTATGTTTCAAATTAGTAATTTTTTCTTGGTCATAGTGTAATTTTTTAGCTCATCTTACCTTTATAAATCTCAGCAAATTTATTCTTATTTCCCAAGAACAACTTTTTTTCTCTCTAATGTACCCATTACTATAGCCATAGGTTCTTGATACATAGCAGCAATAGCACCATAAATCACTCTGAAGATAAAAATTAAATTGTTTTTAAGGAATCAAATTATTCTGACATGTTTATATTGCAGTATAATTTTTAAAAAGTAAATGCATACATTTTAGGTATATAATTTGATTAGTTTTAACAAATATTTACACCCATGTACTACAGTCAAATTATAGAACTTTTCCACCACCCCAGAAATTTCTGTCAGATCCTTTCCAGTCAGTCGATTGTCTTCGCAGTTCTGCAGAGGCAATCCCTATCGTGACTTCTAACCAACTTTAGGTTGGTTTCACCTTTCATATAAGTGAAATTATAAATATAATATGCAATTCTGTACCTGGCTTCTTTTGCTTACAATAATCATTTTTAGATTCATCCATTTCTTACTTGTATTAAAAGTTCGGTATTTTTATTGCTAATAATATTCCATTGCATAAATAAACTATATTGGTATATCTGTTCATCTGTTTCCAGAGTTAAGCTATGAGGAATAATGCTTCTATAAATATTCATGTAACATAAAAGATTATATATCCTCATTTCTCTTGGGTAAAGATGCAACATAATTCATATTGTTGGCAAACACAGCTACCTATAGACCCATTACCCATGGCTCTTAAACTCAGCAAAGACTAATTTAATGGGTAATAAAATGTAACTAAATGCAATATTTAAAAAAAAAAAAAGAATCTACAGACAGAAACAACAAAACTAGGTTTTGTTTGTTTGTTTGTTTGTTTGTTTAATGTACATCCTAAGTGGAAGATGTTGTCGACTAAACTTTGGCCCCTGTAAGCTCATAAAGGAAAATGACAGACTACCATGTAAATTTTTTTCAGTATTTCAATATCAACTAAGATATGAGTCTTTAGATTTTCCAGTTATTTTGCAAATGTAAACATCTTGAGTAGAGAACATGTTAGCTTTCGGAATGTGAAGCAATGAGTGACACATACAGTGAAGAGTCTGCCTGAGTGTGAATGCCACCTGGTGAGGGAAGTGCACATCTCTCCTTGTGTGGCAGAAAGTGTCCTTAGGTTTTAGCTTTTGCCTCCAGTGCAGGGAGAGCTTCTGATTAAGACTATGGACCCTGGTTGTTGTTTCCTGGCCAGTTTATTTCCTAGTCCCTCCCCCATAGCTCTGTCACAGCAAGAGGGTGAGATGGTCCACCTAAGACTCCCTCCAAGGAAACACAGGGCAGACAGTGTTCCACAACGCAGAAGATACCAGCACAAATTCAGGTGGAATTACAGCTTTCCAGACCCCTGAAGTTCTCTGCAGAGTTACTAGTTCATGACTGATTAGTGTAGGAAATTGCCATGTGTTTCCTCTGCAGTTGAGTAGGTTGATTTTCTCTAAAGGCCAAAATTATCGATTGTGGTGTTCTTGTGAGTGAGTAGGGTATACTTAACTTTAAGGTTCATGGAGTGGGGAGGTGGGTTAGTAAACACTCCCCAAATGCAAAACCAATAGGAACTCTAGTTTATTACTTCTGGTGAAAGCTGATTTTATTTTTCAGTCTCCCCTCCATGTCTTTTATTGTGACCTTCTAAGTTTCTTCTCTTTTAGACCACTATACTCACACAAAGAACTGACCCACTCCCAATGCAGTTAGTTCATTGTATGTAGACTGCATTTGGGGAGTTTTTCCTAGGGTTGCATTTAGGGGCTGTCTACACATTGAAGAGTGAGAGATCTTCTTGGCTCCTCTTTTGTAAATATTTGTTAGCTGTAGCGCTTTCCTACTCTATGTACAACCTATGTTATTTGTTTGTTTTTCTTTTCCTCCCTAGAAGTTTTCTTTTAAAATTTATTTTTTTTTTGAATTATGCTTTTCACAAGAGGTTTTTATTTTACCAAACTTACACCATTTGCTTTTCATTTGGAAATTTCTATCAGTTGATCTGCTACAGAATTCTTTACTAATTTTCGGTGCTGTTAAAAAAACTGTTCTTTTAAAAATGTATGTTTTCTGCCATTTTTAGTGATGTAGAGTGGGAAGGGATGTATACAGCTGACCTTGTGATTATCAATTCACCATCTTGACTTAAATTTCTTTAATTCTTATGTTTTATTTGTTTGAAAAAGTTTCTTTTTTATTTTATAAAGTAATATATACTATCTACCGAAAATTTAGAAAATATAGTCAAGCAAGATGAGTGACAGTTTTTTAAAAGACATTATATGTTTTCATAAGTATCAAATATATTCAATTTTATAATAAGGTTCTTTCAGTAAATATAGTCACATCTTAAATTTCAGTAAAGCCATTGTACAATAAAGCAAAAATCTATGAGTTCTAGCTTTATAAATGAAAAACAGCTTGGTACTATTGCTACTGAATTCTAATCTCTGCAAAAAATAGTTTTAGAGTCTGTTAAAAACAAAAACAAAACAAGATTAGATGAGTTAAAGTGTGTGTTTGGCTGCATGTAATAGAAAATCAGGAGTTGTTTTGCTTCTCATTAAAAGATGTGGTCCAAATCTGACAAGGAAGCCACATGATGCCCTTTGGCATGGACCCAAGCACGTTTGATCTGTCTCTGCCATCCTTCCCTGTGGCCATTATCCTTAATCGTACAAGATGCCTGGCAACTCTAGGCTGTCATTTGTATACAGCTGACCTTGTTCTTTTTGGTCAAGAAGGCCCTAACTTTTCTAGAAGCATTCTTGGTAAAATTACACTTTTAACCTCATTGGCCACACTCGTCACATGATCACTTTTAGCTGCAAAAAAGCCTGGAAATCAAGTTCTTTGGTTTAACACCTAAATCCCTGGTACAAAAGCAAGATATTGTTAAGGCAAATGGAGTTTGTGACAGGCAATAGAGGTGTTTGCCACAGAGGCCAGTGTCAGAAGGTATTTAGGTGGCTTACAGTAATGATCTCTGAAGAGCTGGCTGCAATTGTCCAGGCCCGGGCAGTCATAACATCATAGATTGCCACATGTATTTAATATGTACACATAGTAGAATACACAAACACATTAGAAAATATTTACCTGAATAAGAATGGTACTTTCATTTCTTCATTTAGCCAGATGATGCTTCTCTCAACAGTACTACCCTGTCACATGGGTCCCAGGATGAAGAAAGGAGTTTTGCAGTTCCCAGGATTGGCTCCATGGTAAGTCATTGCATGCCAAGACAGTTGCATGTCAGGGCAAATTAGAAATTCAAGGCAAGAACTAACATTTTCTTCAAAACAGATAGGAAAAACTTGAACTAAGATTGCAAGGAAACCGTAGCTGCCAGTAGACCTGCCAACCTTGTAACAATTAGGAAGGAGGAGACTCAAAACTGAGGAATGAATAGATCTCAGTTTATAAAAGGACTTCATAAATTAACACCACTGCAGCCAGAAACCAAAGGATGTTCTTTACATGTGTCGAGCAGGGAGAAATTTGTTAACTTTGATCCTCTTGGCTGAGTTCACACACATGATCTGGCCTAACTCTGCCATCTTGACCCAGAAGTCGTTGTCTCTGCATGATAAACTAAAACCCCTCATCCTGATATAGAAGACTTTCCACTACTGGCTACATTTCCAGCCTTAGGTCCCAGGACTCACCCATGCAAACTCTCCATGTCATATAAAGTCATGCACTTGACCTCAAGTAACAGAACCTGTACTTTTCTTTGTTAAAAAGTCTCATCCTTCCCCCTTCCCCACCTCCACTGGGAATCCCCATTTGGTTTCTCTGTGCAGGTGTTCTGGCAGGGGATGATATAATGGACCAGAAGAAGCAAGAGCCCTATTAGATGAGGTAGTGATTCTCTGATGGCAAGTCGATAGCAACAGTAGCACTTCAGACAGGCAGATGGAGGGGCACATTTAGATTTCCGTGTGGGGCAGTGGGTTCTCCTCTGTTGTCCATTTTGACACACAGTACAGTTAATATTCACATGCATGACACACTCCCAGGATATCCCCATTGTTCAGAAAGATAATACTATTAGCCCCATGTAAATGAGCTTTTCTGTTATGTTTTTATATTTGGGGTCATAGGTTTTTTGTTGTTGTTGTTGCACAGTGATCGTATAAGAAGTGTAAAATAATGTGAATGACTTTTGTCAATGAATATAACCTATCAATAGCACTAGAACTCTCTTGGCACAGATAGGTTAAGAGTCTTGTCTGACCACAATGTCTGACCAACTGGGTATAAATTCTGCCCTTACTTTCCCATTTAAGATGGTGCATTAGAATGCAAATGAATATATCTCAAATTATAATCTCCACTGTACTTGTTAATGAAAAAGTAAATCGTTCATAAACTCTGGTAAATACCAGAAGTGAGCAGTTACCTACAATGGACCTTACACAGTTGTGTTGTACCTCTGTGACTGGGGATTCCTGCTCTAGGTTCTTGCCTTGGATCCTTTATTTTGTCTCAGCTGATGGTACCCATGTGCCCAAGACCCTCTCCCCCTCTATGTGCCCATCCCTGAGACCTGTGGATTTTATCATGCAAATAGTTATAAAATATTTCTACTCCCCTCTTTTCCTACAATTACTTCCTTAGTACAGAAACTCATCATTATCTTTCAATATTGCTAAAGTAACTCCTTAAGTGATCTCCCGGACTTTAGCTTATACCACTCAAACTCATCTTTTCCCACAGCTACAAGTCTTCCTTAAAGCCCACAGAGGTCTCCTCATACCTTCTGGTTAATGTGAAAGCTTCTGACATAGTCTGACCCCTCATCTGCCTCTCTAACTGACTTTACCACTAAAAGCATTTTTATAAACCAACAACAAAAGGCTGCATATGGTTCCAGGCACGTGCTAAGCAGAAATTGAAGCAGGATGTTTGTACAATTGAGTTACTACAGAAGAGAAGGTTAGATAGGCTTTGTTTTTGAGACTTTTCCATAACAGTTCCATGTCCACAGTTTTACGTCTGATAAGACTGATTCTAGTCTTGTTTTTCTATTTCTTCATTCTTTGCCGTTAGCTGCTCAATATCATTGGTTCCTTGATTCTTCCATTCATCCATTCATTTATTCATTCAACAAATTCTTACTGAACACATATTGTCTGCAAATAGGATTCTTGAAAATTTGAGAATGTAAGGGAAAGAAAATGATCTTGTGTGGCAATTATAGATAGAGCTTCCTGAGGTAAGTTAATCACTCAGATTTTGGTTTTGTTTTCTGAAAATTGATTGAATATTGAAAATGACATAAAGTTTCAACAAAAAATCTTTAAAAAATCTCATTAGCACCAGTCTCCAACGTGACTTTCTTTGGTTTGTTACTCAGAATATCTTTACTTAGAAATGTTAAACAAATTGGTGAGTTGCTAGAGTAGCCCACAGATGCCAACTTAAGCCTTAATGCACCTGTACTGAAAGTCATTCTAGACAATCTTACCACAAGGCAAATACCTTTTGATTTCCTTGCTTCTTGGTTATAAGGGCCACAGGCACCCCCATTTTGGCTCCCAGGCTCTTAGAGATGGTGGGTTTCCAGTAATTCAGTAAAGTGGTATCAAGGGCTTCAGCAGTCCTGTCCATGATGCCTATAAAGGTAAATCTCACCTGCAAGATAAATACCCAGGGACATTTATCAACAAGACTGTTATCAACAAGGCTACAGAGACTCCCAATAACTTGCCATATTGGAATTTATGTTATGGAATAGTATAACTATTTTTTCCAAAGAGATAACCTTGACTTGACCAATACCTTTTTTCCATCTTTTATCTTTCTTAAACATTTGAAATGTATCTTTATGATAAATGAAATCTCTATGTATATAGGGTCTATCTTAATTACTATGACTCTGTGGTCTGTTTTTTAAATCTGTTATGTTAAGCCCATCCTCATTTTTCTGCATCAAAATTTTCTTTCCTCTTCTCAGAATTTTTTTTCTTTCTGATGGACTTAGAATAAGACTATCAGTACCCATTAAGAAAAATCTTTTTAGGGCTCCACTAAGAATTTTATTGAATTTAAAGATTAATGTCATGGAAAGAATTCACATTTTAAAATGTTGAGTCTTCTCATTGAGAAACAGTGATTGTGTCCTTCCATTTGTTTATATCATCTATCTGTCAGTAAAATATCATAATTTTTTTTTCCTTACTTTTTTTTTCTTACACGATCTTTTTACTGGTTAATTACTAGGAACTTAATAGTTTTCATTGGTACTTTAAATGGTAAGTATTTTTTCATGATATCTTCTTTGTTTTTTGTAGATATATAAGGAAGTAACTATTTTTTGTTTTTCACAGAAGTATCTTTTAATGCTTCCTTTCTGAAAATTCTTTTTTACTTTTAAGAATTTTTTATTTGATTTTATAATTTGTGCAGATATTACCTAAACTACTGAAAGTTTTATTTACCCAATCTTTAAAATATTATTCATCTTATTTCTTTTTCTTGTCTCATTAACTGACCACAATTACTTGTAACATTGAATGAGAATTACAGAGATCTTTTAATAAGTTTTGGTTTTCTCATAAATTTTAAGTTTCATCATTAAGTAGAATATTTGTTCTAGGTTTCTGAGCCTTGTAGTTGCTTTCTCAGGAATAGAGGTTGAATTATATCAAATGATTGTTCATCATCTATTAAAATGAATATTTTGTTTTTCTTCATTAAGCAATTACTTTAAGAAATTTCATCGATAGGTTTTTCTAACGTTGAACTGTAATTTTGTTACTTAGATAAACCCTACTTGTTGTGCTGTATTATTCTTTTATTATACTACAAAATATGATTTACTATAATTTTAGCATTTTTAACCACTATTCTAATAAGTGGGGTTAGTGTGTGTACACACAGACACATATATACAAATATATGCACACATTTATTTAGGTGTATAACTTTAATTTTCTGTGAAGGGATCTATTACTTCTTTTTTTGTTCTAAAAATTTATGTCTATTACCTCAATCAGAACTGTAAATAGTTTCCTGTATCAGCCGTATTTTTAAGTCACTACCTTGAATTAAGAAGCCTGCTTTTTTATTATATTAATTTATTTAATCCTTATTAATTTTTTCATTCATCTTTGGGTTTACTTGGATAATTTTTTCTAGTCTCTTGGATTATAAACATATTTCCTTTATAATCTTTCTTCTTTGCATTTAAGGTTAAGAATTAATCTCTGAATAATACTTAAGCTATTCTCATGAAATTTTGGAATTTAATGCTCTTATTGTCTTTAACCTTTAGTTTATAATTTCCATGTGATTTAATTTTTAATTCAAGATCTCATCAGAATGACTTTATAAAAAATCTATGCTTCATATTTGGGTAGATTTTATAATTGTTGTTATATTTTTATTTCAAAATCGATTGTGTATATGTCAGTGAATACGGCTTATTTAATTTAATCTCTGGGGTATTTGGCACAGTGATAGTAAGATGTGGATTTATCAGTTCTGATCTCAGGTACAGAAGAGGAAGACAGGGAACCTTATTATCTGTACTGACTCAAGCACAGGCAGCTTTAGTACACAGAGTTATAAGACATAGACTCAAACCATGAGCAAAAACTAAGCAGTCAGTCAGGAAGTTTAGAAACATCTTTTGAGTCAGTGACTTTCTCCAGTAAGTAATGAACATAGAAAATGCTTGGTATGATGTTTTCTTTAATGTGAAAGAAATATCAGATAGTCAATGTCTAGTTTTAAGAGAACTCAAGCAGATAGTGCTAACCTTCTATAATTTGGAGTTTAAAATAATGATCCCTCACACGCTACTATCCAATTTCAGTGCAGTGTGGTTTGGGCAGCAGAGCAAGCTTTGATGGCTGGAGAACGTTGCCTTTACCATTTGAAGCCCCAGTGTGAAACTCTTGTGGTTGGGCACAGAGGAAAATGGTAGGATCTGTTATGGACAAGCCAGGGGAGTTTATTTAAAACGGAGTGGCATTTATGCTTGAAATACTTTAAAATCACTAGTAAATTTTTTAAATTGTGCTAATGTTAATATGTTTAATGGGTGAATAGATGAATACCAAGAACTTACCCTCTTCACTCAATCTTTTTTTCAAAATTCAAGATCCGTTTATTGGCAGGCTGATCATTTTTGATTTTCACCATGCCTTTCCCCAGCTTTAATGCATGAATGTTCTTTCGTTTATTCTGTTTTGTTTTGACCCTTATAAGTCTAAATCTCAACTCCCCTAACTGGTTTTCAAAGCCTTCTATATAATTTGAGCAGACCCTCTTGACTATTTTTTTAAATGTTTTGCCTCAACTCCTGGCACAACAGGCTCTCTGTGATTCCTTGTAGCTGAATGCTTCAGATATCTCCATACCTGAAATTTATACTTCCATCTCTGGCCTGAATGCTTTTGCCCACTTCCTCTGCCTTTGCAAGTCATTCTTTGCATTTCATCTAAAGTTCAGTCACCTCTCCAGTAAAACTTCTCCATTTACTCTCCAATAAACACTTTTATAGTTGTAGTATAGAAATTCCCTCTTAACACTGAATTGTCTCTTAATAATGTTCTGTAATTGTTACTCTGTTCTCCTCATAAATAGGCAAGAGCAGAGATCACAATTTAAACTTCTGCTTCCCCGAAGAAAGTCCAAGAATAATTTGCAAAGAGCAAGCACCTACTCTGTACAATAGGCTAGCTCTCTACTGTACAAATTAAAAAATTAACATGTATTAGTTTAAAGCATTCCAAAGCATCAGCTTCAAACCCTACATAAATGTCTCTCAATTTTTAGGAGTATTCTGTCTCATAGGTGAGTTATTTTAAAGTTTGATGAAGATTTCTTTTTTTAGAAAACTTAAGGAAATCAGTGAAAAGTGGTCCACATCTTTTTAAGAATTAGTGTATGGGTAAATCTTAATTCTGTAGTGTTAGTTTTTAGAGCCAACAAAAAGGCTGCCTGACAATGAATTGTATGGCTCTAGACCTTTTTCATATTTTCACTATTCCACCAATTATGTAATTAGCATCTATGTTTTAATAATTGGTTATATATTCACATGCTGTTTACACAAAATGTGTCATATCTTTTGAAGTAAAATAGGAAAAAAAAGAACACAGGCTTGCAATTCGAGACTCCCTTGTGTAATTTGTAGCACAATAAAGTGTCTTTCAGGAAGCAGGTGTTTAGTTATTGCTAAATAAATATGAGAATAAAAGAAACAACATCAAGCTCTGGGGGAAAAAGAATAGACTTTATCCATGAAGAGCATATAAAAGATTCTTGATGGAATAGCAGATTTTCACCCTATACATATTCACAGATGATAACTCCTACATTAAAATTTATATTGATAGAAATGGTAAGATTTGTGTATAATTTTTTTTATTAGTACTCATCCAACCTGATCAGTAGCTTAACTTCACAGGGCTCTACAAAGATAGGTGCTCAATTTCTGATAGTATCGCAGGGGAGTGCAATGCTTTGGCAATATCTCAGTGAAGAAAGTAGCAAATTTATTAAGAGAGGAGACAACTAGAAAACATACTTAAGTTTTGGTAGTCGTTACCACTCTGTATTTTGTAGTGAAGAAATTAACATGTTAATATATTGATAATAGCTAACCTTCATATAGTGCCATGAACCAGATATTATTTCATATGATTTGTATAGGATAAGTTGTTTAAAATTCATATTAACTCTTTTTTTGAAATCTGTTCTGCTTGCTATCTTCTCCATTTTACACATTGAGAGACTAAGCAATAGAAAGTTCTAGTAAATTGCTTAAAGTCACACAGTAAGTAGCAAAGCTAGGATTAAAATTCAAGCAGTCTGGCTCTAGCATCCCTATTAGTAACCACCTACCTAAGTCATGACTGAGAGTTTATGACAAAAATGTGTCACCAAGTACATCAAGAATAACAAATACTATAACTGTCAAACTATGTGACATCAAGCATTGTAATCTCTATGTATAAGGAAAGGTATGAACAATAAACATTAAGAGCTAGAACAGTTATATTGACCTTGACTTAGTACTCTTTTGAGAAATCTGTGTGAGCCAGACAGGTCTGAACTGAATAAAGAAACAAAGGAAATCAGATGCAGGCCCTTTTTGAAATCAAGAATTGCTTCTTGTGAAAAGAATTCTTATATTCTGCAGAACATAGAACAGACTGAAATGCAGGGTAGACCGTAATTATAGTAAATGTTGTGTCCATCTTCTCTTGTTTCACAGTCTATCCTTGAGACTATCCAAGATATAACAGTTCATTCCAATGGATCAGCAGACCCTGGACGGTCAGTTCAGAATTCAGTAACTGGTGAGTGAGTCTGTCTTTTCACTTAAACTATGTCTTTGCTTTTGTATTGGCACTCAATAAAGTAAGCAATGAATTTCTAAAAGTAAAATGTGAATGTGTTTTTCTCCGCATTTTGATTCTATCAAAATGTACTCCTCCCACCTCCAAACACCGTTCTGTCACACCAAACAAAATTAATTGAGACAAACTGGAAGCAGAATCTTTTTCTCTTTTGTTACACCATATCATTTAGAGCCTACTCACTTGGGTAGTGTCTGTGATTTTTGGACCTCTTTCATAAGTAACCTGTATCTGCTTAACAGTTTTAAGCAGACCAGGAAGTAGGCCACTTTCAAGGATCTCTACTTATGCTTCTGTAATAGCAGCAACATTGGGTCTAGATGGACTTAATTTTAATATCATAAGAATATATAGAAATATCCCCTTTTTAGACTTTCCTCTAGTAATCCTCAATGCTTTTCATGAAACAAAATTCTAAAATTGAAAACATCAGATTAAATAGAAAGTTGTCTGGATAATAATTATAGAAATTTTGTTCCTATGGAAGTCTGATGACACTGTTTAACTGAAATCATTCTGGGTGAGTCTGACGTTTTTCCTTGAATGTAAACCATCTAACGTGCTTATGGATTAACTTGTAAATATTTTGTACTTATTTTGCAGTAAATGGTATTGATCGATTAAATGAAATATCGAATTTTCTGCATCCTTTGTTTCTTAGATGATGATTATCTGGAAAAGAACATTCCACCAGAAGCTGAAGAGCTGTCCTTTGAAGTATCTTATTCAGAAATGGTTACAGAGGTGCCAAAGAGAAATAAATTTAAGAAGTCAGATTTTAAAAAAGAAGACTATGTTTTAACTGTAAGTAAAACCTTTCATAATTATTTCACTAACTTCCTGTAATTTCTCTATGGTGTAAACTAGGATCTTTAAAAAAATTTCTTTGTGTGTGCACAAAGGGATGAGGAAAGGCCTGGTATCAGTGTCGCCTAACACCGGGGGCACCATTTGTTGCACAGCGCATAGCCTGCCTGGCTGTTCCTGGCAGCCCTGTGTTGAGGAATAGTTGTGAGAGTATATGCTCGATTACTATTTTATAGATAAAATAGGATTTCTACCTGGCTTGTATGCTTTCGTGCACTTTATATCCTTACTTTAGTTATAGGTTAATGCGTATTCTAACCGTATACCTACTTGTGCCTCTAAAAGCACATATTAAAAGGGGATATTGCAGAAAATCATAGCCATAACAAGTGAGAGCTTATAGGACAGATACTAAAATTCCATCAAAACAAACTCAAGAATTTCTAATGTTATTTTGGGATGGGTAAGTAGTACTACATACTTGGCTATCCTGAAAGTTTCATGATTATATATATATATATATCTAGATAGATTGATTGATGGATATAGGTATAGATATATAGATATATATCCAGGATATTATATCCTGAAAGCCCAATACAGAAACTATGTTACGTTGATCTATTTGCTACTCAATAAATGCATTTATGGAGTTCATGATGTGCAGCCCCGAATGTTCTGTGCCGATCAGGGCTTGCCGAATGATGATCAAGGTTCAGGCAGTTTTGGAGCTAAAGGAATGAGTCATCTAGAAACTGGCAGAGTCTTTGCCCCAGGCAGCCTGAACCATCCCCAAATACCCTATGATGGAGGGGAGGAAGAGGGCAGGGCAAGAACTGTAAGACTCACTGAGTGCCTTCTGCGGGCCCCATGCCACACTAAGGATTCAGTTGTAATCACCTCTGTGACTGCTCCCATTTTATATCTAAGGAAACTGAGACTCAAAGAAGCTAAGGGACAGATCCAACACCCCACAGCTAGTAGGTGGCAGAAACAGGATTTAAATCTATGTATATCAAACTCCCAAACCCTTCCTGGTTCCTTAGCATTCTGTGTGCTGGAGGACACAGTGGCATTCAGGGCAAAAGATGGATTCCAGTGGGACTGGTTTCAAGGGGAGCCCCCCTGAATCTTTAGAGAGAGTTGTGCAAGCAAGGATGTTGACTCCCCAGTTTCTGCATCTAAGCTGTCCATCTCCTTTTGAAGTTTGGCTCACCCGGAATTCAGGCCAGCCTCCAATGAAGAACTTTGCATAGGGTTGAGCACATGGCAGTTGCTCAGTAAATGATTGTGGTTCTTGTTTATATTGTTTTTATGTGTTACTGTTATGTGGAGTCTTGGTCTCAGAAAGAAGATAAAATAACTAAGTATTTAATAGTACAAGGTATGTCCAAATCATAGCCTATATATTGTTTTACTTTTAAATACTTGGAGCTCCAAGGAACAATTGCTGAATGAATGAATGAACGAATGATGGTTTAAAAACCCCAAGGAAGTTCTAATTTAGGGAACCCCTGCGGAGAATGTGTACTTAAAGCTTTATAATTTAAATAACTGTTGGATTTTTCTACTTCAGCAGTTTGTTTTCAGTACCAAGTTTTCTGAGAGCAAAGTATTTGTAATATACCATATATATATAT